GATAACTGTTTGTTGAGAGAATAAATGGAAAGTGAAATAAATTAATTTTCACATATACAAATTAAATATCTGAAGGGTGCATAGTATTGTTGCTTTTTCTGTGGGGACCAAATCAGCTTTAAAATAAATCACCGAAGTTAAGATGGATCAAAGAAGTTGAGAAGGATATTAAACGTGTTCTCCAACTCCATAATAATAGTTCATGAGAGGAAATAATTACCTTGGCTACTTCCAGACTCCTTGAATGGGAAGTAAAGATGATAGAGGAGAAAGTCAAGTAATACCCTTTACCTAGGGCAGACTATTGAGGGAATCACTGTAGTGCAAGTGTCTGATCTTATTTCTACTTAGCTAGTGTACCTAGTAGAAGCAGGTAAATGATTTTTTTTAATTTTACTGGTTGTAGCATTTGTATTATTAAAAAAGGCATAGGTGGAGTCAAAGTCAAATGGAAGTTTGATTCTGCTTTCAAAATTAAAATAATTATCAGTGCAATCAGTGAGTGATCTAAGTTCTTTACTATTTGGTTTAAAAGTCAATTCAATCTAGTTTCTTGACCCTATCATTATATCCAACTATCTCACATATTTTGAGGGAAAGGGGAACCTGAAAGTATTTTTGAAGGAAGGTTTTTGAAAAGTAATGTTATATAATGAGGGAAATATGCACACCCATTATATCAGGTGTAATTGAATTTAATAGCTCAACAAGTCTTTGTAAGGTAGATATCAGTATCATAATTTTATAGATGAGAAAACAGATCTGTGGAGGTTCAGGACTCAAATCTAGTACTCAAGAGTCTTTGCACAACCTAATAATACTTTTTCTCTACAACTTAAAGTGTTAATTTGAAAGGTTGACACATTATGATTTTTGGACAGTTGTCCAGCATTTTACTCTTCATCTTAACATTGCAAATATATATTTGTTTAGTGTATAGATTAACCTTCCAGCATGTGTCAGAAAGTAGGCTAAACTGTTTACTTATTGTGCAGATGAGTATGAGTGGTTAGATATGTGATCTGCATCCAACTAAGCACTAATATATAGTGTTAAATCCATTCCCTGAGGATCAGAAATTTGAAAGAAAGGGAGGAGTGAGGGAGATAGAAGGAAAGGAGAAACAACACCTCAAATTTATTGAATATCCATGTGCTGGATACTGTAGCTAGTGATGAAACCAAGACTTGAACTCTATTTACTTTCAGATCTTCTGTTCTTTCTACAATGCACCAATGCCCTTTTTACTGCAAATCCTTAAATCATGCTAGTCTACTTCTGGCCAAAGAGTTACATATTTCCTTTTTTATTCTAATACTATTGGTTTAGTTAACTTGGGTGTTTACAGGACAGTGTTAGTAATGGTAACAGTGATGGTTACAAAGAATAGTTGTTTTATAATACTAGTGAATTATATAGTAAGTTTATCATTTGTTTCAATGCCCAGGAAAATAGAAAAAAAAAAAAAGATTAGTGACTCAGCACAAATATATCACCACTACACAAAAAAATCTAATCTATGCTAGTTATATATTCCTTTTTAAAGAAAGATTTCAATTTAAAGTATATGAAGGAACCATTTAAAGTCAGACATTATTCAAAACATTGTAGTAACTAAAAAAAATTAAACGCTACAAATGAATGTTGTTCATGAAGCAACAATTATACTTTATTTTTTCCCATTGAGTTTATTAATACATTTAAAGCAAACAATACAGTTACATTTATCATTGGGATCTTGTACCTTTACATGATATGTCTTGGTTCTTATTTTTCCCCAAACTCCTGCCCTCCCTTCACCCACTTCACCCTCTATTTACAAAGAACAATTATACTTTAATATCCTATGGTTAGGTTTGGCATATGCAGATTCTATGTAAATAAGTTGCAAACCAAAAAACCTTGACTCTTTTTATTACTTTTATTGACTAATAGTCACTTAATCTTTTTATATAGATTTTTACCAGAGATATATAGTGTCTGCTGCCCTGCTTAAATCCTTGTAAAAGTAATTTTGAGATGAAACAACTGCTGTAGGTAAAATTGCTAAAATTATTCCTATTAACTATCAATACTATTTATGAATAGCTTATATAAATTTAGTTGTCTTCAACTGCTATTTAATGTATAAGTTATATTACCTCAAACTGGAAGTGTGATGTTATATGAAAATTTAGAGTTTAGAACCAGATTGGCTCTCTATGTAAATCTGGACTCTCCTATTCACACTCTTCTTTATCTATACCATAAATTGTTTACTGTGTTAGTTATTAACTGTGCATGTAACAAATTATCATAATCTAAGGGACTTAAAACAACACATATTCATTATTTCACACTTCCTTTGTCTCATGAGTTCAGACACAGTTTACCTAGGTCCTTTGCCTTAGGTCCTTTGATGAAGTTGCAAGTCAAAGTGTTGGCAAGGACTGGCATCTCCACAGCTGACTTGATTGAGGAACAATCTGCTTCCGAGCTCATGAGTTTTTTGGATGCTATTGGACTGTAGGTCTCAGATCCTTGACAGTGATAGTTAGAGGCTGTGCTCAATTCCTTTCTGTGGGCCACCATTAGCAGCTTGCTTCACCTAAATCAATCAAAAAAAGTCTGCTTTCAAGATGGAAGTCAGAATCTTTTGTAATCTAATTACAGAAGCGATATCTCTCAATAATGAGGTATTCATTTGGTTAGGATTAACTATTTCAAGGGGAGGAGACTACAAAAGGGTATAGATATCAAGGCTAGGCTCATCAAAACCATTGGTCTGTCCACAGGATGATAGTAACTATATGACAAAATTGTTGTGAGTGAAGACTAAAGGAAATAATACATTTTAAATCCTTTATTTTTAATGACTGTCTTAAATTACTTTACCAGTTATTACCTGTTAGTCTTCTGTGCAAGAACTGAAGTTCTATTTTTATTATTATTAACACTATGTCCCATTTTTTCCTTACCATCTAAACTTTCTGTAATGTTTTTGTTCTATTTATAATGACTATCTTCAGCAATTTGATTTGTGTAATTTCATTCCTTTCCAAGACCTACCTTAAATACTATATTTTCACAAGTTTCTTTGATTTATCCTTCTTTGAACTAGAAGTCATCTCTCCTGATCTCCTTTGCAACTTCATTATGGCATATATCAGTCTGCTTTGAATTTTTATCTTATTTAGATAAGAGCTTCTCAAGGGGGAAGAATTGTGTCCTATTTTTTCTTTAATCCCTTCTGTATTCCAGTCTTGTTTTATCATCATTTTTTTTGTTTAGTTTTGTTTTTTGGTACCGGGTATTGAACTCGGGTCCTTGCGCTTGTGAGGCAGGTGGTGGAACCACTGAGCTAAATCCTTGGCCCTTATCATCATTTTTTAAACATTGTATGAATGAATTAATTTTCTAAGATTTAGCAGTTTAATAACAGTGACATATGTAAGGAATTTTAAATGGTTGTGGTTGTTTTATATGTTGTAATAATTAATATTTCAAGCACCATGGGAAATGAAGTAATTACAAATAGTCTCTGATATACCTAAGGTGATTTTGTTTTAACCACTACTCATTTATTCATTTATTCATCTATTTTTGACCAAAAATACATAGTGAATGTTTACTAAATGATAATCCCATATATTAAGTACTTGAGATGAAAATCTTTCTAATACTCTTGTGTACTTCCCTGTGTTAATAGTTATCTTATTAAAAGTAATTTGACTTGTTCTCCCAGATTCATTCGCAATATTATAAAAATTATTGAGCTATAACACATTTATATGATAGGAAAGGTTAAACTATATAAGAATGGTTTGCCTTTATCTCCGAGTGTAATACTTTGGAGTTCTAAAACTACTTTTTAGTTTTTGGTCTTTTTTTTTTTTTAATATTTGTTTTGCTGTTAGTAAGTTTTGTTGTGATGGTTATTTTCCTTCTAATATGCTGTGGAAAATCAGGCAGTTATATATGCTAGTATTCTGAATAAAATGTAAAAACGTGGGCCCTCTGTGAGGATTTTGGCTGAAAGTAAAGTGTATTACATAAAACTTCAAATCTGTTGTGATACCTGAATGGAGTCTAAAAGTTTTTAGAAATTACCTTATTTGAGATGCCTTATAAGAGAGTTAAGTGTTGCAGTAAGTATGGTTCAACTTTTTAGAAGTTTAGTTTTAATACCATTGGCATTTTCACAGACAGGTGATAAATGCCACTCTGTATGTAGATCTGCTTTGTCAGAAAAATGATAAGTGCTTCATAAAGCAGCACGGCAATCTTTGGATGTGAATAACCTTAAAGAACACATAAAGGATTGTGTTGTACGAATAATGAATTTAGATTATGAAGCCAGTTTATTTTTTATTTTATGTAAAAGAAATTAGTTCACTGTATTGTTCTGTTGTTATTTTCAAAGTTCTTTGTTTAATTTTAATTTTTATTAGTAAATGTTTGTAGTACATAATTGCATTCATCATGAGGAGTTGATACACATACATGTACACATCTTAATTCTTTTTATGTCCCTTTTCTTTCCCTTCCTCCCCCTCTCCAACTCTGTTCAAAGTTTTTTTCTTTAAAAAGGATTTATGCTTCTTCTTCATATTTCCCCTTTTATTAATAAGTATCTGTGATATTATCCTGCTAACCATTTAGGTCTCTAATTATGTGTTTGCTCTTGCAAATATTTATTTAGACTATAAAGAACAATAGTAGTGTAATTTAACTGTATTAAGTTACTTTGTAATTATGTCCTTTGGCAAGTATTGAGTAATAAATAGTAGATCTGTCCATTTAAGATATTGTTCAATTAACTTAAAATTTTTTTTGGTTTGTTTTTCTAGGTTAAAAAATGGCCATATTTTAGTAACTAATCAGCCTAATACTTTGCTTATGAAAATTTTTGTCATCATTTTTTTTTTTCATTCTGAGTTGCGAAAATGAATCCACATATAGAAGAAAGTATGAGATGTTGGAAAAAAGTGCCTTATGTTAAACAGTGGAACATGTAATATCTAATTTAAAAGAAGTTTTAAAGAAATAAAACTGTTATGCTTCGATTTTGGTATAGTATTAACTCTTTAGCACATAGGTAGCCCTCCAAAAAATCATCCAGTTTTCTAAATTATGGAAATTTTGTGGAAGACGTTGACCTGGATTTTGAGCCTCATCATGGCTTCATCGGAATTTCATAGTGACCACAGACTTTCGTACAGTTCTCAAGGTAGGATTCTTGCTTTTGAAACTTCACACATACATAAACTGCTGTTAATAGTTAGATAAGAAAAGATTCTGGATGTTTAGCTTGGGTGAATACTTCTTTTGGGATATGTTGTACTAGGAACCGAGGCCTACTGTGTCCTTTCAAGTTCTAGTTTAATAAATATTAAAGGCTCTAAGAGTCTGTTTAATGTCTAGAAGATTTTAGAGTTGACTGGTTTTTCTTGGAAAATGATAGACCCCAAATTTCTTCTTCTGAATGCTGCATTTTAATAGACTCATTCATTGCTTTATGAACAAGGCCATTTTAAAAAAGGACCCAAAGGTTTATGCTACAGAAGAAGAAGAAACCAGATGAATTCTGATACAGTGTTATGGGAGCTTTTAATATGGAGCTTTTCAGAAAAAGTGCTTTTCCAAAGTTGAGAATTCTGACCTAAGGACTAAAATCTGGGTAAAAGAGTGAGAATTATAAATTCAGTTTTTCGATTTCTAAAATTTACTAATTTTAATCTATGAAATTGAACTTTATATGATAAAAATGATATTAACAAAATCCCAAGAGTAAATATCGTTTTGTTTTTCATGGACTAATTTATTGGTTATAGAATTATTGGCAGCATACTTTTTTTTTTTTGGTACTGGGGATCAAACTCTGGATCTTGCGCATACAAATGAAGGCTTACTTTTTGAAAGTCTTTCCATGAATGCATACTAACAATTTTTTGGTGCAAGTGAGCCAGATTTTAAAGACTGCTATAGATT